TATCACCCGGGGAAAGCAAATGTTGTAGCCGATGCTCTTAGCAGGAAAAGCTACTGTAATATGTCAGAAGGTCGACGTTTACCTTGGGAGTTATGCCAAGAATTTGAAAAATTGAACTTGGGAATAGTCAGCAATGGTTTTGTGGCCGCTTTAGAAGCTAAACCTACTCTGTTTGATCAAGTCAGAGAAGCTCAAGTGAATGATCCTGATATCCAAGAAATAAAGAAGAACATGAGAAGAGGTAAAGCCATCGGTTATGTAGAAGATGAGCAAGGAACTGTGTGGTTAGGAGAAAGAATTTGCGTCCCAGAAAATAAGGGGTTGAAGGATACTATCATGAAAGAAGCTCATGAAACTTTGTATTCCATTCACCCTGGAAGCACTAAGATGTACCAAGACTTAAAGCAACAATTCTGGTGGGCCAGTATGCGACGTGAGATAGCAGAATATGTGGCTCTATGTGATGTATGTCAGCGGGTCAAGGCAGAACATCAGAAGCCAGCCGGTCTGTTACAACCGTTGAAGATTCCAGAGTGGAAGTGGGAAGAAATAGGAATGGATTTTATAACCGGTCTACCCAGAACGTCGGCAGGACATGATTCTATTTGGGTAGTGGTTGATAGGTTGACAAAAGTCGCTCATTTCATACCGGTCAAAACCACCTACACGGGGAATAAGCTTGCAGAGTTATACATGGCCAGAGTGGTATGTTTGCATGGTGTTCCTAAGAAGATAGTGTCAGATAGAGGTAGCCAGTTTACTTCGAAGTTTTGGCAGAAGTTACAGTTAGAGATGGGTACCCGTTTGAATTTCAGTACCGCTTATCATCCTCAAACAGATGGACAGACGGAAAGAATAAACCAAATTTTAGAAGATATGTTGAGAGCTTGTGTTCTAGATTTTGGTGGAAGTTGGGATAAGAATTTGCCGTACGCGGAATTCTCATATAACAATAGTTATCAAGCTAGTTTGCAAATGGCTCCGTATGAAGCATTATATGGTCGAAAGTGCCGTACGCCGCTCCTTTGGGATCAAACCGGTGAACGTCAAGTTTTTGGGACAGACATTTTGCGAGAGGCAGAAGAAAAAGTGAAGATTATCCAAGAAAGGTTGCGCGTTGCTCAGTCACGTCAGAAGAGCTATGCCGACAATCGTCGCAGAGATTTGGCTTTCGAAGAAGGAGATTATGTATACCTTCGGGTTACGCCGTTACGAGGTGTTCATCGTTTCCAGACCAAAGGGAAATTGGCACCGCGTTTCGTGGGACCTTTTAAGATTGTGAGTCGAAGGGGTGAAGTAGCTTATCAGTTAGAGTTGCCTCCGTCAATGGCGGGAATACATGACGTGTTCCACGTATCTCAGTTGAAGAAGTGTTTACGTGTACCTACGGAGGAAGCAGATCCTGATCGTATAGAGCTTCAAGAAGATTTAACTTATGTTGAGAAGCCAGTCAGAATCTTGGAAGTAACCGAGAGGAATACCAGGAATTGTGTTATACGGTTCTGCAAGGTTCAGTGGAGCAATCATTCAGAAGAAGAAGCCACTTGGGAGCGAGAAGATGAATTGAAGTCAGCTCATCCTCATCTGTTCGCCAGTTCTTCTGAATCTCGAGGACGAGATTCCGTTTAAGGGGGGTAGGTTTGTCACGCCCTAAAAATTGCCTAAATTAAAAATGCATATTTTAAATTATTTTTAGAAATTATTTTAAAAGCCTACAAACTAAAGTCTAATTTTCTAGGAAAATTTTCAACATAAAAATGAGCTACATAAAATTTTATTAAATACTATACTTGCTCCTCTATTTTCTAGATTTTTCTGGGAATTATTTGAGCAAGGGAAGTATTTTTAACAATTGAAACAACATTTCACAAATTGTTTTATTTGAAAAAGTTCAAAAAAACCCCTCCCTAAGCCGTTGGGCCGAATTCGGCCCAACATCCTTTCCCTCCCGCGCGGCCCAAGCCGGCCCAGTTGCCGCCGCCGCCCCTCTCTCATGTGAGACACCGACATGTGGGGTCCACATGTCGGGCCTTTCTTCAAGCTCCAGCCGGCCGGCCGACCAAGCCGAGCCGCCCCACCGCGTCCCCTTTCTCCTCTCAAATCCGCTCCAATCCGACCCCGATTCCTCCGGGTTTTTGAGGGATTTTGATCCTCTCGTTCTCCTCTATCTTTCCCCTCAAGAAACGGAGCAATCCGTTGAGTATTCTCTCCGAATCGAGTTCGTTTCGAGTTTATCCCTAAAAACCGAGTTTGGATTTTTCCCGAGTCGATTCCTCTCGTTTGGAGTCCGATCTCTTCAATCCAAGGCTATAAATAGCATCCCCTCGTCGCCCTCTTTCGTTTGCCCCCTCTCCCGTGGTCTCCCGTGCCTCCTAGTCGCCGCGCCGCCGCCGTTTAGTACGCCGCCGCCGCCGGCCGTCTTCGGCTGCGCCGCGCCACCGTCTCCGCCGTCGCCGCCGCTTGCCGTCGCCGCCGTTAGGTGCGCACGGAGGTGAGGAAGCCCGGCCGCACCTCCTCTTTCGCCGCCGACCGCCGTAGTTCGCCGTCGCCGACCGACCGAGCCGCCGCCGTCGTCCCTCTCGTCGCCGGCCATCATCGGTCGTCGTTTGTCGTTGTGGTGAGTACCGTTGGGTTCGTCTCGTCGTCCTCTACGTGTACATGCCCTCCAAAACCCCGGCCGACCGCCCTAGCTCCGGCGAGGTCGCCAATCCGAGCCGGGCCGGCCATGGATGACGTCATGCTGACGTCATCATCTCCTCTTTTTCCAATTTCTTTTAATAGATTAAAACTTCGGAAAATCATAACTAAATAACCGTAGATCCGTTTCAGGTGGTTCAAGTTGCTAATTTTTTCTAAAATCAAGATCTACATGTTAAAAATATCCACATGTACTGTTTATGCTTGTTTTTGTACTGTTTTGTTGATTTTGTTTAATTGCTTTAGTTTCCGACGTTCCGGAGGAGAGCGTTTCCTTTGAGGAAGGTTCCGAAGCGTTTGCGGAAGCCCAAGGCAAGTCACACAGATCCCAAACAACCCTTTGAGCATGTTGAACCCGTTTAAAGCTATTATTTTATTTCAACTATGCATTGTTTTCGAATGTCATCGGGTGGTGAACCTTTCCCAATTAATTAATGGCCGAAGATGACTTTATTTTCCTATGGGTTATAATTTGATTAGCATGAACCTTATATATTGGATTGGTTCAGCTAAACGCTATATGTAAGTTTGCTTAGCCATGCTTAGAAACATTAGCTAACTAAAGGGATTAATTATAAACTATGTTATATTATTATTTTAATTATGGTTACATTAAATGGTAGCTCACGATGGTTGATCGTGTGATGATAATTAATTGATAATTAAAACCTGGTTAAGGTGGGTTGTGAGCATATGGTTTTGATGGTTGTGCTCATGACAATTAAGGACCGGTTCGCGAGCTACTGTTGTGAAACATTTATCGTGCCAACCACAAGCCAGCGTGGGCAACGGCTTTATCTTTTGTGTAACGTGATTCATTATAGTGCGCCAGACTGAGAAGTGGCGAGAAGTCCACGGGGGTCGCTGGGGAGTCCATGCCTTGTTTATAAAGGGGGTGATTATGATCCAGAAAAGGTGCGCTGTAATGGGTTATGTTGTGCAAGGGGTATTGTCACAACTCCTTTCCGAGGTACCGTGGTGGTATTGAGGCACATGGTGACATGATGTGGGGTTGTGTCTTGTGGGTACAGTGGTACACCTCTGATCAGAGTTTAAACTATTCGAATAGCCGTACCCGCGGTTATGGGTGAGTTGAGCAATGTTTTTCGTGATTAGTCTCACACTGTTCATCAATGTTAGTAATGTGGTAATTAATTTGACTCCTGGTTTGGAATGGTTAATTCCTGGTTTGGAGGTTTAGTTTGTTCAACTGGGGTTGGTTGTTCAAATATGGTTGGGCCCATGCAACATGGGTGTGTTGTATGGTGTTATTTAATATTGATTAATTATTCAACTGTTTTCACTATTCTCTTAAATATTTATTAAATGCTGTTTCTGCAAATGAGCTATGTTATGCCATCCTTTGTTATCCTGTGCACTTGCATATTTGCTGTGTGACTTGTTGAGTATGTCATATGCTCATTCTTGCAATATTCATTCATCAGAAGAGGAGTATCTCAGTGAAGGTGATGATCTGGAGGATTAGGCTTGTTCTTGGTTAAGATGCCTGTGGAGTGGAGTCGCCATAGCTGTTCCGTAGTTATAGTTTTTCTTTCCGCTGCGTAGAATGTTATTCTTTGAGAGGAACTATCTACCTCTGTAATAATTTTTATTTACGAATATTAAATAGTCATTTATTTGTACTCTATTATTAATTTGTCATTGTGTGCCTCGGTTGATTCCTGGACGAGGGTTTAACACACATATAAGCGTTTGGAATTTTGGATAGAAATTCCGGGCGTGACACTATTCACCTAAAATTTGTCTTTTTTATTACTCCTAAATGAATTTGAGTTTGAACTTGAGATTTGGTGAGAATGTATTTGAGTTTGAACTTGAAATTTGATTTTCGATGTTCCTACCATTCACTCCCTCTTGTATGCTTGACTCTTGTATGGTGGCAAACTATTGATAGGATGCATGTGGTGTGCAACTTGTTGGCCTTGGGTGATGCACCCACTCACTGATGCTCATGTCACAAGGAAACTCAGCATGAGGTATTGTGCCATCCGGCATCATATATAATCAAAATCCTGAATTTGAATGACTCTAGTTTGTTACACATCTAGAGATCTTTAGCAAAATCAATACATTGGAACCTGTATTTTTCCAAGAAATAAAATGGAGACAACATGCAGCATTATTAATTAGTACACTACAATTGAGAATGCGATATGGTATATTGTGGGCGCACTGCATGTCTGCACCAAAGCCAACCACAGTACAGACCGAACTAGGCATGGAGATCGATTAAAACAGCCGCGAAGCCCTGTTATTAATATGAGAACAAGGAGGTTCCAACATTGATAACATCACAGGAAGATGCCGTTGATAAAAATGGGACATGTTTCTTACATGAAATAAATCTGAAGGCAATTGAAACAACACATAAATTATGGGGCCTTCTTTAGGAAAAAAAAAATCAAGCATGACATGTTACCAAAGAAAACAATACCGACCATACATATACAAATCCGACAAATTACTGGAAAGAACTGAATGTGTGATGTACTTGCACGCAGGCATACTTTAAGAAAGAATACTAATGTAGAGAGAACCAATCTGCAACATCTATATACGGACAGTGGCGAAGCCACCGTAGGGGCCAGGGAGGGCCAACACCCCCCTAACCCCTATGTGACCTCCCCTCCCCTCTCTTCTCCCAAGGATAATTAGCCCTTATAATCTAGCCATTAATTACATCATTAGTTGCGGATGAGACTAACTATATAGGACAACTGCCTAGCTATATATATAGGACTTATGAAATGACTTAGTTAACTGATTTATCATTTTAAAAATGATTGCAAGACTCCAATTAAAATCATGGAACAAACTGTTTAAATTGGCAAATTATGATCTATAGGTTCTCATTCTCTCTTCTAGCTAATCGCTATAACATGTATGATGTCGAGTTAGCAATCATACATCAACGCTACAATGTCACTGTTCACCGAACCTTAAGTGAGTTACCACGTCTCGTAGATGGCACCCCCCGTCTCTAAATCCTGGCTTCACCACCCTACATGGATCTCTGCAATATGCAGCATCTTCTGGTGCATCACGTCACCATTCCATTGAGTCTTGAAGTCTTTGTGCAGGTCCATCAAACAGAGCTTCTTTAGGGAGGCAAGGGATTCAATGCCTTGAGGGACTTTATCCAGCTTCCGCAATGATACAATGTATAAACCTTCGATGCATGGAAGGGCGCCATCCGTGATGTTTATCTGGTTGACATCAGGCATGTGCATTAACACAAGAGTCTTCAGGTGGGGGAACGCCTCTGCATCAAGAACCAAAGTTTTCGAACTGTGCATGTTGTTCAGTCTTAGATAAGTGAGGTTTGACAAGTGTGATGCGAGCATCCCCAGTGGATCTTCACCAAGATGACACCAACTTAGAGCTAAATATTTCAGATATGTACCATGGCTATGAAATATCGGGTAGTCTAGTGTGCCCTTAGCCCATTGCCCTCTGATAATTAACCTGTGGAGTTCATTGGAAATGGGCTGGAGAGCCTCAAAACAAAGTGGCTCATTTTCATCCTTTGCCGAAAGAAGCAAGCTGGAAAGAAGCGGCATATTTGATAGTGTAGCAAAAATATTTCCACAATCAGCAGAACTTATGTTGTCAATCCAAATACTTCTTATCTGCATTAGTTCCTTCAGCTGCTCGGCCAAGTCCTTGCTGGCTTCCACAGTCTCAAGAGTCTGAAGTTCTTCCAACTTAGACAGATATTTGGGTGCTTGCACTCCAATAAAATACCGGAACTCTGACTTATTTTCATCCTCATATCTGTCAGCTAGAAGGTGCCTCAGCTTCTTGATCTTAGTGATTCCACGTGGTAGCTTCTCTATTTTAGTTTGCTTGATGTCCAGAGTTTGCAGGTTTGAGAGCTTGTCAATAGACTCTGGTAGTGAGCAGAGTCTTGTCCGCCTTAAGCCAATGTAACGTAAATTAAACAATTTGCCTATGCATGCTGGTACTTCGGTGATATCTGAGTCTTGTAGCTCTAGGACAGTGAGGTATTTGGATTCAGACAAAATTGAGGATAACAATCCAGGAGGGTGTGTAGTTGTTTCAAGTAGTGTGCGAAGATGTGGAAATTTCACTGTTGATGCACAACCTTTTCCATTGTTCAAGAATAATGACAGACGACGGACTTCCCAATCAACCTTTTCCACAGCTCCATAATCATTTGCGTAACCGAACCTCTCCTGTCCAGCAATTGAGAGAGCCAGGTTGCGCACAATGTCATGCATCTTACAAGAGATCACCTTGCCAAGCTCATCATACTCGTCAACTTCAAGCATGTTCCGGTGGATCAGTTCCATGAGATTTATTTCGGCCACATCTTCTGGTCTATTGTGTTCGATTCTCACCGCAAAACCTTCTGCAACCCAGTACCGCACAAGGCTCTCACGAGATATGCGAAAATCTTCAGGGAACAGGCTGCAGTACAAGAAGCAGTTCTTTTGGTCAGCTGGTAATGCATGGTAGCTTACTTTCAGAATTGCCTTGACATCATCATTTTTGGCCAGCTCACTCCGAAGCTGGTTGTACATTTGTTGCCAGGCATGCTCAGTTTGTAGCTTTGTGGACATCAGGCCACCCATGGTAACAAGTGCTAGGGGCAGCCCCTTACACTTACTTACTATGGAGGCAGCCACATTCTCAAGGTCCAGCGGGCACCTATGGTCCTTTGTGTTGTAAAATGCCCTTCTGCAGAAAAGGTTGAATGCATCAATTTCACCCAAAGCCTGTATCTTGAGATGGCATTCAGAGGGAGCAAGAACTGCCACATGTTCCATCCGTGTCGTGATGATAATGCGACTTGCTTGGGGATTCTTAAGCATGCCCTGTATTTCGAAGTACACGTTCTGGTCCCAGACATCATCTAGCACAATCAAACATGATGTACAGTTTTCAGTCCTTCTGTTTAATTCTTTTGTCAATTCATGAACGCCCATTTTGTTGATTAGATCTTCCTTGGATTCTGATGATTCTTGTTCCATGGGTATGAGCGGACTGACTAACTGTCTTAGAAGACTAAGGATCGTGCAAGTCTGTGACACAGTGATCCAGGCATGAACTGGGAACTTGATCTTTTCACGTTCAAATACGTCTAAGGCCAGGGTGGTTTTTCCCAGTCCACCCATACCAGACACTGTTATCACTTTGTGGCCTGGTTCTTCAGGGTACAGTAATTCAAGCAACCTTTTCCTGTTGTATTCAATCCCCACAGGATCGCCACATTCAAGCAACTTTCTTCTTCCTTGAGATCGCGGTGTTTCGATGTCAGTGGGTGTTCTTGAAATGAGCTGAACTGTAGGTAACCATTCCATTTGCTGTCTTTTAACCTGTTCAACATCACCCTTTATCTTCATTACCTCACTAGCAACTTCACTGAAAACACCTGCATAATGTGCTCCTCTTACGCATCTCATCACTGATCCTTCTTGCTGCCGTTGACAAGCATAGTATGAGTACTTGTCCATTATGTCTTCAACACGGTAAGCCAGCTTCCGCAGTTCGTCGATCCAACCCTTGACAACATTCATGTTGGTATTTGTGGAATCTAAATCTTGTATTACATCTTTCATGAGACGCAATTCCCTTCTGATATACTCAACTTTGTCAGGAAGTTCCCTCAAGTTAGATACTTTTCCGGAGAGTTTGGCTATGACAGCCCTGGTGGCTTCATCTCCCAAAGCTGTACTGATCTTTGAGATGGCAAGCAGCACAGCTTCTGCCATTGCCTTAGTGCTGCAGAATAGAATCATGAATCATGGAGCTTTGTCACATAACGAATTTAAAAGATAAAAAGGGTACTTGTTACTGTTGTAGAACAATTACAGCTAAGATTGTTTTTACGACCCTTGTGGGAATTTGCAAGCCATATATGTATTCAAGTATTCACCATGATGTACCAATAGATATAGGTGAAGGAGCTGTGTCAAGACATACCATCCTCCTAGTGAATGAGTGAGAAAGTAAAGCTAATCTTAATCTATACTTTCTATAAAATTATAGCCCACTAAATCTAAAGCTCAACATATAACCATACCACATCATCACCACTAGCAATAATTACTCCCTCCATCTCTAAATACAAGGGATTTTGGTTGGATGTGATACATCATATGTCCAGATTTAGTACTACTTGGTTATTCTGGTTTGTAAAAAGGAAAAAAAATAACACAATGATGATCACACATCAGACATATTTGATCACTTTTGGTGGATATAGCTGATACTTGAGAACTGTTTTGTTTGAAGCGCCTGCAACACTCGTAATTTCATCAGGTAAATATTTTTGGACCATTTATGGTGTTATATGTCACTGAAGGTAAGCATTTTTGTGCCCGTAAAGTTCATAATTTTCATTTTATTCATTAGCTGGAGAGACCTACTTCTTATTGATTTAAATCCCACTGCTATGATTTCTTCTACTAATGGAATGAATTATGTGTTAATTGTCTTGTTGGAAAGCATCTATGTTTTCTTCAAGAGGTGATGTTACCATGTTTACCCAATGATTTCTGCTATTTCATCTTTCTTAACAAACTGCTTTCTTGTTCGTAACAAGATCGTTATTCTTATGCATTATCAGGTGGACCTACTTATCAAAAGGTATATATATATATATCCTTTATCCAAAGTAGGAAATTAACTTTCTTAGAAGTGCAAAGCAAAGGATGATAATGTTGCCTAAATTCCAATATAATATTTCCTTTCATATCTAAGGTTATAGATGAATTTCTTAACCAAGCGGCCATAACCTAAGTGTCTTTTGTGGTGTGGAATTATATAGTATCCAAGTTCATCATGAACCAATCCTGAAGGGTCCTTACTGGAGGAACGGCATTTGCGGTCATTTCCTGTGCTGTTTAATCCAGAAATAGTGCTGGAGATGAGGAAGTCTATTGCAAGATGGTGATCCTAATCCATTTTCATTTCTAAGCCTGTGGCAAACTGTTGCTCCTTAAAAATTGTTATGTTCATTGAAAGACTCTGGTTCTATTGGACGAGGTATTGCGTGGTGCAGTCTTATTTTATAGCTTATAGCTGTCTCTTACCCTTAGGGAGTTAGTAAAACCAATCCTTTCTGAATGTCATGGAAATTAGTCATTGTTTCCCACCAATCTGAACTTCTCAAGTGGTTGGATCTTACCCTCTGTCTTGCCAAAAAGCTTTTTAAAGTTCAAAGCAGTTTCATATCTAAAGACATGACCATTGGATGTACTTGTGGGTTCAGAACTTCAAATTTCTTTATACCAAGATGTAGAATGGTTATTTTGGTTGAATCCTTTACTGGTGCAATGCTCTATTTGTAGAAATGCTTTCTTTACAACAGAACTTCACTGAAGCTCTGAGGATGGTGTTTGTGTGAGAGTTCAACTGAAAATAAACTGATGTTTTTCGGACAATCAGTTAATGTGGCCGCTGCTAAATGCATGAGCATCAGCAGTTTAGCCAAGGACCTAGGAACCAAGTTGGCATGTTTCTGTCTCTTTATGTCGCCAAACTAATTTATCCTGTAACTTTTATTTTATTCTCTAAGTTTGTGCTTTCACCCAAGTACAGGGTGATGTCAAACTACATTGCAGGGAAATTATTGGGATTGTTACTAATGAGAATTCTTTATCTAAACTGAAGCAGATGGCCGTAGCAACTCAATATAACATCAGCCAAAGAGATAAATATATGAGAGGATGCAAACATTTGAGACTGATTACCTTCTGGGGCTTGACTTGAGCTTGTAGTTCTAGCCTCTAGGTATTATTGCAGCAGTTGGCGAAATAATGTGATGAAAACCCTGCACTAAAGTTAAAAAAGAATTATTCTTTCAATAAAACATCAGAACAAAACAATGTGATGTTGAAATTGATATAGTTGTACTGCCAGTATATACAGAGATCTCCAAAATGCAGAACTAAACCAGAAAAAAGCTGTTCACTGCTGTTCTATGTGATTGTCGCTCAAATTCATAACTAATCCCCAAGATTTTCAAGCAAAAAAGAACTAATAATCTCTTCTCCCAGGAGGAAAATTCTCGCCAGAAACTGTATAACTTCCAAGCAGACAAAAAAACAGGAAAACTATTCCAGATCTGAGAGTCTGTAAGGCACCAAAAATACGAGAAGATTCAGTACAGATCTTCGAGCTAGAGCTGCAAGCAGCAAGAGATAGAATCTCACCTCAAATCAGAACAAGGGTCTTCTTTCGTCAGCTAATCCATCGAAGAGCAGAGCTAGTCAGATGATGATTTTTGGAGGTCGAGAGGCTACTCCCCTCTCTCTCCCTCGCCTTGATCTTTAGCCTGCGAGGCTGCGACGACTTGAGATCAAGTCCCACGCGCTTAGCAGCATCCTCTGAAGTCTGAACTAGCAGAAGAAACCGCTGCGAAAGTTCGTCAAAATTTCCAGGAAGAAGCCAAGAGAAGAGATACCCACTACTGCAGTCAATCTGAGCCGTCGGTTGGACGGCTCAATGGCCAGATTTTGTCAAGTTCATCTGGGCCGGGTCAACGCTCAACAGCGAGGTCAACGTCGTCAATTATTTTCTTTTCCTTTTCCTTTTTTTTACTAGATAAAATGCCCGTGCGTTGCAACGGGGAGAACAGATGAGAAAATTAAGGAGAAGTTGAGAAGGATTTACATTATGTAATTAACTTAAATACAAATTTCCTGGAATAGTTGATACTCCCTCCGTTTCGAAATGTTTGACACCGTTGATTTTTTAGCACATGTTTGACCGTTCGTCTTATTCAAAAACTTTTGTGAAATATGTAAAATTATATGCCTACATAAAAATATATTTAATAATGAATCAAATGATAGGAAAAGAATTAATAATTACTTAAATTTTTTGAATAAGACGAACAGTCAAACATGTTAAAAAAAGTCAACAGCGTCAAACATTTCGAAACGGAGAGAGTATTTTTTTAAGTATGTAGGTGTTTAAATTAATTTAAAAGTAAACTAAGTGTGGAAATAACATGATATGGCTGGATTTAATTTTTTTATGAAGTTCTCCATGATTAATTACACTCTCTATAATTTTCTTGAAATTTTCACAGCTCAGATGCTAATTTTAATAATACAAACATTATTTCAGTATTCATTTAAACAAAAATCTAAATAAAACCCTCCTTTCTCTCTGGCTCATCAGCCTGCAGCCTAGCTGGCCTACTTTTCTCCCTTTTCCTCCGCTCCACCTCGGCCCGCAAGTACGCATCCGGCCAGGCAAGGTACTACAAGTCTAATCAACCTCCCCAGCTCCTTTCACTGTCACATGGGTCACGTGGGCCAGTGCTACAGGGTCGTCTCCTACCTCCGTCTATATTGCCGCATCTACCCGACGACACCTGAATCCGACTCCTCCGTAAAATCCGGCCACATCCTTAGAGATAATCCGAAATTAACTAAGGGATTTTGATCCTTGTTTTCTCCTCTTTCCGTTTTCCCAAGAATAAAAGCAAAACCATGTCGTATAGATGTCGGAAGCGAAACCCTATTTTTTTAGTCTAAGTCAGTTTCTCTTAAAAACCACGCACGCATGCGCGAGAGGGGAGGGAACCGGACCATACGGACGAAAAAAAGTGTGACGAAAGGAAAAATACGAATCTTTTAATTAAGTTAAGATTAAGATAAGATATATTATCATTAGGTAGGTATGTATGTACTATGGGGTGTTCTTGTGGCGTACGTATTAGGGCGTGATCTGAGCGTAGTGGACCTGAACGTGACATGGGCTTTTTTTTTTTGGGAGAAACGTGACATGGGCCTAAACAGATCTAGGAGGGTGTAGGAAATCATGGAGCTATCAAGGAGGAATCGGACAAAAAAAATCGCACACTACACGTGAAGGGAATCGGATTAAAAAATCGCAACAATCGCGCTATATACGGTAGGGAATCAGACTCAAAAATCACTCGGGACGATGTACGAAAATTCATGGGAAAAACATCTTAAACTTTTATAATAGAAAAAGATTTAATGATAAAACAAATCACAATAAAATAATTAATAATTATGTACTTATACTACATTTATTGATAAAATAAATCACAAAATAATTGAATCCTAACGTTCACAGGCCTCTCACTTAAGCATCAAAGATTTCCAAATAATCAAGAATTTTTGGGGAAAAAAAATGGCATGAATCGAACAATCCCTGCCTTAAATCTCTTATTTACCTCCAAGCAGCTAGACAAGTCTAGTTTTGCTCCCTCTTATCTTGGCCTAGCACCTCCCCTTCCTCCCTCTCCCGTGGGCCTCTTGGCCCGAGAGGCCCAGCCCGCCCAAGTCTGTTTTTGTCCCTCCCTCGTTGCCAGGTGGCCCTCGCTACAGCGTCGTCTTCAATCTCGCGACAAGACCGGACTCCGCCATGGCCGCCATCTCCTCCTCTGAAACCGACGCAGCCATTGCCCCCTAATTAAATCCAAGCCCAAAAACGGAATCCCCTCGAACACCTCTTCCTTTTGGACTCGGATTAGACGCAAGAGAGCGATCTGGGAGGGTTTTTTTTTTCTCCAAGTCATTGGTGAATCGGACTTTCCTTTTTTCTTTTCTTTTTATATGTTTGAATCGGACTCAAAAATCGGACGACGTACGAAAATCTAAGGACAAAAATATCTTAAACTTTTATAATAGGTAAAGATAAAGATAGATATAGAGTACGATGAAAACGTTGCCTTCTTTTTGGAAGGCTTTTTTTTGCCTTTTTTTATTATTTTTCTTGCTTGTTTTCGCTCTTTTCAATTTTTCTGGATGGACTTCTTTCACGGACTTTTTTTCTTTTTTATGGGCTGCCCCTTTTTACGTATTTTTGGGCTTTTTTTTTCTTTTTTTTACTTTTTAATCGTTGCATACAAATCGGATCTTTTTTTTTATTTTATTCGAACAAATTTTTTTTCGTCGTTCTATGGGAATCGGACTTTAGTTTTGGTGACTTTTTTTCGCTATTTTTTCATTTTTTTGGACAGTTTTTTCATCTCTTTTACGGGGAATCAGAATCGGATTTTTTTCGCCTTTTTTTAATTACGGGTTACAGACACATTTTGTTCTTTTTAAGGCCCAATTAATTCGAGTTGATGGAGACATAAAATTAAAACCAATTCAAACACAGATGACATACCAAATTACGAGAAAAACATCTTCAATTTTTATAATAGTAGAGATAGAGATGTATACATATAAAAATAGAATATCGAAATTTATTTTTATTAAATTATTCATGATTAATCACACTAATTTATTTGAATTTCTTAGGGCTAAATTGCTAATTTTAATAATACAAAATAATTTCAATAATTAATTTAAATTTAAAACAAATAAAAACCCTCTCTTAAGTCTTGGCCAAATCTTGCCCATTCTTCCTTCCGCCTCCCCGAGTCGGCCCGCTTCATCTCCTCCCTCTTGGGCCACCATCCCGATGTCTGCTCGGCCTAGCAGATCATTGCTAATTTTAATAATACAAAATAATTTCAATAATTAATTTAAATTTAAAACAAATAAAAACCCTCTCTTAAGTCTGGGCCAAATCTAGCCCATTCTTCCTTCCGCCTCCCCGAGTCGGCCTGCTTCATCTCCTCCCTCTTGGGCCACCATCCTGATGTCTGCTCGGCCTAGCAGATCATTGCTAATTTTAATAATACAAAATAATTTCAATAATTAATTTAAATTTAAAACAAATAAAAACCCTCTCTTAAGTCTGGGCCAAATCTAGCCCATTCTTCCTTCCGCCTCCCCGAGTCGGCCCGCTTCATCTCCTCCCTCTTGGGCCACCATCCCGATGTCTGCTCGGCCTAGCAGATCATTGCTAATTTTAATAATACAAAATAATTTCAATAATTAATTTAAATTTAAAATAAATAAAAACCCTCTCTTAAGTCTGGGCCAAATCTGGCCCATTCTTCCTTCCGCCTCCCCGAGTCGGCCCGCTTCATCTCCTCCCTCTTGGGCCGGCATCCCGGTGTCTGCTCGGCCTAGCAGATCGCTCCCATCTCCCATCGCGTGGCAAAGAAAAAAGAAAAACGGAACGGACGAAAGAAAAAAACGGAAACCTTACGTATGTTTTAATTAGGTATAGGGACTACCTATACATTTGTCGACAAATTTTCCCCAAAAATTTGACAGATGTAATTACAGTACAATCGTAGTGTAATTAAACTGTAACTTATATGTAATTACACTGTAACTTGCATATAACTACAGTGTAACTTATATGTAAGTTTCACATAATTTTGAATCGTTAGATCTATTACAAGATTTGTTTTGGTGAGGAAGAAAACAAATCATAGCACACACATATGTGAAAGAATTTGTTCCCAAGACCTCCGTTTTACCGAAATAACATGTTACAGAGAGATTTTTGAAAGTTACATATAAGTTACACTATAATTACAGTGTAATTACATGCAAGTTACAGTGTAATTACACTACGATTGTACTGTAATTACATCTGTCAAATTTTTTGGGAAAAATTTGTCGACAAATATATAACAAAATCGTTAGGTATATATAGGTATAGATTTGTCAAAATACTCGGTTACTATAATGGGCTTAGCGTGGGCCGGAATTCACTTGTGGGCCGCACTGTAGCAGCCGAAGCCCAACAAGCGCTCGCATCGACGGCATTTTTCACGGCGAGCGTTTTCTGGGGTGTCCGGTGGCCGCCGCTGGCGAATCAGATCCGCCACCTCGCCCTGGCGCTCCGGCGGCCGGCGAGGTGGGCTGCGCTGCGCCGCCGCTTCTGGCCAGATTCGCCTGGTAACTCACCGATTCAATCTACCGGATTATTTGCTAGGATAGCTAGCCTAATTCGTTGGTTGCGTTTCAGATGTTTGAGTTAGGCGGTATATTGATGTCGTAACGAGTTCAGTTTTGTCTACCTCAAAAAAAAAAAAATTCAGTTCTGTAGATGCTGTTCTTCCTTCCATGTTCATGTGGGGATTTATGCCCTAAAATACATATGGCACTTTCAACACAAAGAGAGTTCATACAGTACTAGAGCAATGCATTAGTGCCTTAGTGGTAGCATGCCATGTCATATTGAGGGCTGCTCACTGTTCATACTGTTTCAGTATAAAACTTCACATCTGCTTTATCAACAAGTTTGTTTATTATTGCCTTGAGTGTTTCACCGAATTTTTGTTTGTCAAAGTATATATCTTTGAAATGCTAGGAGGCTAGATCTGTTTTTATCTCTGAAATTTGATGTTGCAATCCTGCTTTCCTACAGAGGAGTGTATTGCTGCTATCGTCCAACAAACAATATATAAAAGGATGCTATGAGATCATTATGTAATAAATCCATGTCAAAATGGGAATAAAGGATCATTATTCATATTAAACATTGCGCTGCCTGAAACGGATTTAAGAACTGGAAGTGAAACACAAGGCAAAGACCCAAGGAACTTCAGGTCGTGACTCCTGATGG